GTTACAGCACTGAAAAAGAACAGGACTGATTTAATGAGATATGATCAGATAAAATGTGTCACCCTGCTCACAACATGTCAAAATGACTCACTTTCTTTTTGCTCATCCGATTTCTCCAATTTTAAACATTAAGAAACAGCGTCTGTAAAAGTTGTTGAGAGAAACCGGGCCTCAAAGATGAACGAGAACACCCAGAGTCCAAATTAAACACAGCAGTAATGATTTTCCGGTGCTTCTCTGTGCACCGGATCTCTCCTCAGTTCCAGCTGCCACGTCGGTTATGAAACGTGGCTGTGACTGAGTGGAAGTCTGGGAGGTGGAAAAGTAATATAAAAGTCCTCTGTGTGTCTTCTGTGTGTAGCTGCAGCCACCTTTTTCTGGTGCTGAGCCTCAGTGAAGGGAAGTTAAGCAGGAGAACCGAAAAAGAGATCAGAAAAAAGAAGATGTTTTAATAAAAAAGGGGTCTTGTGTGGTGCAAAGACTCAAAATGGTCATGCCTGTAGCTGAAATAAAGGAGTTGAAAAATAATTGGTTAATGTTTTTGCATTTAATGTGGAGACTGTTTTCCTAGTCTGTCAATACTGTCTGTATTTATTACTATTATTATTTATAGTTTTGAACATGAGCAGAAAACCTGCTGAAACACAGGAGCTATTGAAGTCCAGGAGTTTCTAACCGAGTTAAAAATAAATAAGGTGCTACAATCACATTTAAAGAGGTTACTTCCTCAAACAAAGACACAAAGACGAGGGAACCTTTTCACCTTCTCAGCAGGGATGATACTACACGGGAAAAAGTTGATCTACAGGAGAAACATCTGAAAGAAACGCAGAACGACAGAGAGCTACACTGACTTATATTCGCTTATAGTTAGGTTATATTGTCTCATATTGTGATTGTGAATTGTCACCAGCCACCTGAATTTTGAGTTTCTCTTTACATAATATATGAAATTCACCATTCATCAGAATGCAGGAAATTAAGTGTTTAATACTCTATTTTTTCATATAATTCAGCATAAAAGATTGCTTGAAAATAGTGTAAAAATCTCGTCTAGTCTGGATCTCGTGAACCCACTCTTGAATCTCGTCTCTTGGGTTAAGTGTCTCGTCACACCCCTAGTATTTATTGTTCAACATTGTTTATGTGCTCCTTTTTTTGGACTGCGTTGAAAGACATTTTTACCTCAGGGAGACACGGTATATATTGAGGGGAAAATGGAAAAGACGGCTTTACTTTAAAGGAATAGTTGGCCTTTTTGGGAATTTGTCTTCCTGCCAAGAGTTTGATTGGATTATAGATGGCACTCATATCTCTACATTCAGTAACCAACCTTTTAGCTTAGCTTAGCATAGCCAGCTGGCTAAACAACAACAAACTTTTAAGCCAGTGTTAGGGTCTTGGCAATCTTCTTATAGCATGGCTAACTGGGCCCAATTTGGGCATTTTCACTTAGGGCTGTACTCACTTTTGTGCTAGCGGTTTAGACATTAATGGCTGTGTGATGTGTTATTTTGAGAGGACAGCAAATTTACACTGTTATACAAGCTGTACACTCACTACTTTACATTATAGCAAATTGTCATTCTTCAGTGTTGTCATATAAAAAGGTATAATCAAATATTTACAAATATGTGAGGGCTGTACTCACTTTTGTGAGATACTGTCTGTTTTGTTTGTTTAATCTGTACAAAAAGTGTAAAAATAACAAGCTGTGTGTCAGGGGGTTAGCTACATTTACTGTCAATCTGAATATCTGAATTAATGTATTTCCCAAATTTCAAACTATTATTTAAACGAGAGAGATTTTAACATCATCAACATGAAGATTTTACCTGCCGTAATATATAAAAAAAGGACTTCTCCCCCCCCGAGCTTTCAACCACATCAGTCTTCATCTGTGCAATCTCAGTAGCTGTTGTGACTTCATTCTTTGCACTTTTAGGACTTCTTCAGGCTTTAAAAGCTTAAAAAGGTAGTAGTTAGGATTGGATCTCCATGCAAACAGAACATCTGCTGATGAAGGCTGTGTGATACAATCAAAAGCTCCAAAAAAGGCTCGTGAGATTTTAGTTTTCCTACATAAAAGGGATTTTTTAAAAAAGGTCACTAAAGAAATGTAATCTCTTCATTTAAAAGTAATCTGTTGTATTTTGTATTTTCACGAAACCTTTAATGACTGAGCTGGTGTGTGATCAATGACTTGCTCAAGGGCACTTTATCAGGTCACGTTAGCTGATGAAAGGACCTTTGACTTATCATTTACAGGACTTTCTGATGATGCCGAGGTGAAAAACAAAACCCAAACATAAAACCAAGGATCTTTTCACACATTTATTGTTCCTACCCCAACAAATAATTGATAAAAAGTGATTTTTATAAAAGGGGAGGCATCCTTTTCACTCGTGATCCAAAAAGCTATAAAGTATATCCTCCTCAAATGAAATCGCTGTCGACTTGATTTTCACTCTTGCTTGATGCAAGCAACAAACCGGCGCCAAGTGACAGGAGCTCAAAATTATGTAACACAAGAGTGCAAATCCTCTTGGTGCTGCAGTGCCAACCGGGACCTGGAGGAACCTGGTACCCCCGCTGGATTATCGCAGTATCCAGCGGGGGGAAACACAGGAGCGAAACAAAGAGTACGGATTATAAACCTTTTCCTATTTACTGGTGGTGAGAATAAAGAAAAATCGCTTTAGGTTCTTGGTTTGGTAGCGAAGGTGAGGTACCCTGTGTGACCTGGTATTTCTCTGGGCGGGGTGGTGGTCTTCAAGGTGATGGAGGCCTGACTTGGAGCCGAGGTTGGAGGCGTTTTCTCCGCGGCGTCAGGCTGAGTCAGAGCGGAGGGGTCTGGGCCAAAGTCGGGCAGCGGAAGGGAGACGGTTCGCACGTCGTGGACTCTCAGCAGGACCTCCAGGGTGCTGATCTCCTCGAAGCCCTGATCCGCCAGAGCCTCGCACGTCCTCTGGACCTGCTCTATACATGGAGAGAACGAACACACCCGACCTCCTGAAGAGACAGAAAGAACAGTTGTTCAGTTAACATCTTGTTGCCCCATAATAATAAAGACCAGTCAGTAACAAATCATCCAGACTGAAATATTTCAACATCTGCTGGATGGATGAAAGTTTTTACAGACATTCACCAGTGACTGAATCATACAGACTTTTCCTCAAGCGCCACTTTGAGGTTCACGTTTGTGGTTCTGACGGTCTCAAAATTTATTTAGTGTACATTTACAGATACAAATACAGTCACTGAAATGGGGTTGAAAACCAGAGATACAGTTTTCCAAAAAACTAGGTGCAACAGGTTTAAGTTTTCATTTATCCCATGTGCAGTAAGTACCCTCAAGTCTAATACAATATAAAGCGCCTCTTCGTTCCCCGCACATCTCAGTGTTTTATTTTTCTTACCTTTATTCTGTGTTATCTGGAATATCTGAGCATCTTTGTTTCACCAAAGATAGATTAAAACAGCAAATAAAAGATTAAAACCCAACTAAGTAACAACTTGCAATTCCCATTTCATCTAATGCTAACATGCTAGCAGATATTTGGCGAACTGCTGAACAAAGCTCGTTCTAAACAGGAATATTTGGACTTCTGTTAGTCTACAGCAGGGCTTTTCAAAGTCTGACTGTGGGCCTCCCCTCACACAAACTTGGAAAAAAGTGCCCTTTTGTTTATCTAGTCCATTTTGCTCAAGTCCTAGATGCCTAAGGAATCGTGATTATTATTATTATTCATAATATTTCATCTCATAGGCAGACAGAATTAAGCCAAGACAGCCTAATATTGCTTGTATGACATCACAGCCTATACCAACTATATGATCAAGGTCTGTCCTGTGCCATTTGTTCATTTCTGGGAATGTGGGGAAAACTTCTATATCTTTTTAATCAAATCAAACACTTTTAGGGTATCCTATACCCCCTTGATAATTAATGTAAGAACTAACTTCCCACTCATCCTCCCAAGAAACAGTTTGGAGCTTCGCTGGGAGGCCCTTTCCCACTTTGAAAATTTCTGGTCTACAGGACCTGGACTGAGATAACCAAGGGTAGCTAAGTTTGTACAGCGTGCAGTTAAATTTTTGTTAGCTGCTGTGAGCCTTTCAAATAGCTAGCAAGTTAGCAAAACAACGATATGGCAGTACGAGGCGAGTCATTAAGGAGCAATGATAAATCCCTTCGCTGAGGGAGGCCCCCCATGTTTCTGGCCTCATTGGGATGCCCCAACCGTTATCAAACTTTTAAATGGTTGATATTTTTGGCAGGTATCTGCTAGTGTGAAAAAGCTGAATTGGTGCAGTGGCAAACAACAAGATGGGAAGTTGGTTTTGAGAAGTCTGGGAAAATTCAAGTGCGCTTCCTCATGATTGAATAATAACAGCAACACTGTTATAACTTGAAGGCTCCAGCGTGTTAAAAACTGAGGAGAAACATGCTAATTTTACCATATTTACCTTAAAATCTCAGGCTATCTCTGCTGCCAAAATGTATAACAATCAGAACAATAATTTGGTCTTCTGGTTGGCCTACACAAACACTGGGTTGATGTGACTGGATCTATGATCTGAACCATAATTAGGCACAGATGTAACACCAGGAGGGGGGAGGGTAGTAATTTAGTCTTAAAGATAAAGACAAGATCACTGCAGATCCACTTAAGCTTGTTCTCTACAGGCTAATACACAGCGAGAAACAACAAGGGACTGTTTTGTGTGACCAACATACAATGTTTTTAATAAAGATACTCAAATCGATTACACAATTCACCATCCTTGCATGGTTATTATGGCCAAGACACACATGATCCCACTTCTAGAGAAACATCCTCAAAGTACCAGACACCTCAAAAAGGAGTGTATTTACATTGTTATCTCTGTGTGTCGCCTGAAAAAAACAGTAATGGACAAAGATAAATAATCTAAACCAGATTTATAAGCTTAACATGGACTCAGGAAAAATTTAGTCTTTCTCTAGGGGGGAAAACCATGATATTACTACTATTAATAATTTGTTTTTTCTTACACCCAAGAGTACTTTTAAAGCTTATTCTTTCCCTTAACAAAGCAGGCCTTTGACCCGTTGGGCTCCAGGCTGGAGTTTGTGGATCATCACGGGACAAACCGCCACACTGATAAACAGATCACCTACTGGCTCCGGCCTCTTGTCTCTGAAGGAAACCATGCAGCGAACGCAGCAGGAGGCCGGAGCAACGAGCCAAGACAACTTTCACCGGCTGACCTGAAGAGCGAAGACTGTGACTCTGAGCAGTACAGCTGGGAAGAGGAGGGGTTCAGGTTTCACAAATCCAAATTGAGTTTCTATACATATATTTAAAAGGAATTCTCTTGAGGTAGATTTTACAGTTTGAGATGCTATTTTAAAAGTGTTATATATGTAGTTTTCAGCGGCCACTAGCGGTTTTGAAATTGCAACCAGGTGCGTGCTCGTACGCTTGCTCACCTGTGGATCCATGCTTGGCGGGCAGCGAAAAATAACGTCTTTTTTGCCCTCCAAAGGAGCGTTTTCCTTGGAATGTGATGTCACGTGAAAACTATGAATTATACTTTCACGTGCACTCCAGACTTCAACATAGTCCCTAATGAAGCCCCACTTTTTATTCCAGCTTTAAAGTGTAGCTGAAATCTTTCTTTTATACCTTCTACAAGGCACAATTTGTTTTGTTTTTTTATCCTATTGAGCATCCACAGGATCACAGAACACATCTGTGGTGTAATCTGCCCCATTTAATCTCACTTCACATTTCAGAGGAATAATCTGCACTACTAATGGGATACACACACACACACACAGATGCCTGATGGGAGAGACAACATGTGTCTGTGATTTAACCTTCAAACTCTAAAGTCATTAATGTGTAATAAATACACACACACACACACACACACACACACACACACACACACAACGCCGAGTAACTCAATGAAATAGAGAACGAGTCTGCAGAGGGCAGCCCTGCTGAAGATTCCATTGTATCTGGAAAACATTACAGGAGACTTCGGGATGTTTCACATAGCAGTCGTTCCTGCGGGCTAACAGAACCAGTGTTCTCCCTCGAGACTGCCACAAACACAACTTAAATGGCTTCCTAGCAACCAGGACGAACACACAAGGAGGGGCTGAGTTGATGATTATATAAGATGTTATTAATAGTGTCGAATATCAACCGTACATCCACAACTAGGATCTTTACATGTGTGAATCTATGCCGAGTTATTGGGTTTTTGAGTGTTTGTGTTTGCTTGACGCTTGCATAATAAAATCAGCGAGGTAGGGCGGGGCGGCCAAATACAGGGCCGGGCTGCAGGCTAAAACTTCAAATTACAACTTGAAGGAAAAAAGAAAAAGAAAAGAAATATTTCACTGCCTTTTCACTCTGCAACAAACCAGCTCTCTGCAACTGGAGTCTGCTGAAACACACTTCTTTCACTCCAGCAGCCACATTAGCAAAAAACAAACAAAACAAAAACAAATGCAGCTTCCCATCACGTGCTACACAACACCTCAGACCCTCCCATGTGGATTTTGTTAACTTTTTCATCTGACTGAAGCATTGTGGGGCAGCAGTGCTCAGCTTGGCTCGGGAGGAAACATCCAGTTTGTACAGTGGGAAGTAAATTGAGCCTGTCCTAATTGAGCCATGTTCACCAGCTCTCTCCCTGCAGCATAACCCTGTATGGTCATGGGACTGCTTCTACAATGGCTGCACTCTATTTATCTGTATCTGTGTGTGTGTGTGTGTGTGAGTGTCAACAGCTCATGACAGGAATATGTAGCCGTGGCACCATAAAAGGGATTCATAGAGGAGGAGAGAGAGCTGCATCCTCGCTCCTCCTGCATTCCTTTTCATATTGGGGCTTACTTTTTAAAACTGCATTTATGTGCCTCAGGAATATGAGCATCTATTCAGGCTCATAACCCACTGATCCTGGGCACCTTAACAATGTCGAGTCAATTTATTGGATATATTTGAGTAAATCAATTTTGATGGTTGTGCTGGCAGCATGCGATATTGCTTTTTTTAACCCCGGTGACCCGAAGCAGTGACTTTTGTCCTACTTCCAAACAATAAAACACTGAGGTTAACTCCCTGATCTAAGGACATGTGGTCACAAATCCTATTTACAGGATAGGTACAGGCACCAGCCATGATGCAGCAGGTCCATTTCTTCATCAATGTCATGAAATTTTGTGTTTCCAGTAGTGGAGACATGGCAGTCAGCCAACGTGCATTTTTTTTTGGCGCCACAGCAATCCCTGGCTTAATGTTAAGTCATAAAAATAATCCCAATTAGTTTCCCACAGTGAGGTACATAGATTTTAAATGTGGAAAACAGTAAGCATTAGTGATGGATCAGTACTTAGTTTCAGGAGATAAAAGTTGGGTTGGTGCATCCTTAAAAAAACCATGAACAGAAAGTAGGAAAACAACATTCATTACATTAAAGTGCATTTTTGCAAACCTTATACTTAGTCCCGCACACTGGTGATATCCAAATGATGTACTGATTAATGAAGCTATGTATTATGAACTGAATGACTCAGTGGCTTATTTCTAGCTATCAGCTTTAACATTTAGCTTGAGGTGTTTTTTTTGTGCTAACTAGCAATAAATATGAATTAATTAATTCAAAAATATGTCTTTTAATGAACATTCCTGCTGATACAACAGCATGTTCCCAAACACTGGACGCGTACGAACGGACAAGAGTTGTAGATTTTATTGCGATTTGGAGAGCATCTAATTCTCCGGTGTTCTTTACACGTGTGAAGCAGCAACACGTTCTCCAGCCGTAAACTTTGCCATGAACCATGCAAAGTTTAAGATTGTAAAGCCCGGGCACATTTGGAGAGTGAACATAATAATTGTGTATAATAAGTATATAATAATTATTTGCTACTCTCAATGCCATTGACGGGTAATTGAGAAAATCTATAGAACACGATACAGCTCATAACGTGAAATAACACAGTTTTTAACATCAAGGTGGCTGACTATCTTACCGAGAGCCGATGTGCCTCCTCTTCAGAGTCTCCTGCACAACTGATGTGCTCCCATGCCAGGCAAGGTCAGCTTTGCAAATATTGACAACCCATTTGCTTGAGTTAAGAGTGAAATGCTCCCACATGTTTTAAGTCATCAATGTGTGCTAATGTTCACTACTGCCTGATGACGTCACCAACTAATTAAATTTGTTGGCAACTTCTTTGGTTATCGATTACTAGGTTGATTATTTGTTGCAGTTGTTTTCTCAATACTGATAACAATTGCACATTCTTTAGTCAATACTGAATTCCCCCTCTGGGGATGGATAAAGGCTCATCTTATCTTGAAGCGACCAAATATGTAATAAACACACATACTCGATGCCAACGGTCTCTGGGATACCAGTAAATTCCCCTCTGCACTGTGTAGGTAGCTATGTGCTCTACATGTATCACGTAAACCTTGGCTTTACCTCTAAACACTGTCCACCTCGGTGAGCTGCCGACCTGCCCAGGCATGCTGCCGTTCCCGGTTGTCACAAACACGGCAACATGCTTTCCGCCTCAATGGCTGAGTTTATTCTGTGACCAGGGACCAACAGAGTAACACACAGGGACAAAGTTAATGAGAGCAGTGTTGGCGAGGATCGATGGTTGGCCTGGGAGTGCAGAGCGAGGTGACAGGGCCGGGGGGTGGGTGGGGGTTTGGAATAAATTCATTTTAAAATACCAGCCGGCTGGTATTTTAAAATGTGCTCAGTCACAGTCATGTTCCTCCTGAGTCACAGAAAAGTCAACATCAGGTGATGGTGACTGTTTCACTGAGGCCACATATATAAATACACACATATTTTAATATTAATTTACTCAACGGAACACTTCAGTGACCTTCAGTCATTCATGTTTCCCCTCTAGGTTAGGTTAGGCTTTATTTAACGCCAGTGTTGAGCCAATAATGCAAAATCTGTTGTAAAAGATCACATTTTGACCTTAAATAGACAATGTAAAGTTAAATTACTAAAGAAGGCCATATGCTGAAACTTAACATTTAGATATTTATGAAATGCCAAATGCAGTCAAATGTTTCTCAGAAGAGGCCAACAATGCAGACAGACCACAGTTTGTAAAACTGCTGGTAAATGGGTGTAACTGAAAACAGTGACTAATAATGTATCACTGGGAACATTTTTAACAAATTCAATAAAAAATTATTTGATCCCCTGCTGATTTTGAATAAACCTACCACTAAAATTATAGACTGATAATTTCTTTGTCAGTGGGAAAACGTACAAAATCAGCAGGGGATCAAATAATCTCCCCCCCCCCCCCACTGTATCATGACAAAATTTCTTAAAAACGTTACACCTTGTCTGAGAGACTGGGACCAGGCATTTACTGCTTTTGGGAATAACAAAACAAGATAATTGAAGTATTGGTGCAACTAACGGTTATTTTTAGTACTGATTAATCTGCAGATTGTCTCAGTTTGGTCAGAAAAATTTAAGGAAGAACACATTTCACAGTTAACTAAAGCCCCGTCATCGAATAGCTTGTCCGACCAACAGTTCAAAATTACCATGATTACAAGGGGTGGGAATCACCAGAGGCCCCACGATACAATATTATCACGATATTTATGTTACGATTAGATTTTATTGCGATTTTAAATATATTGCAATTTATTACCTTTTTCCAACTTCTAATTAGGTCCCTAAAGTCAAACTTTGTCAACATCTGTTTATGTAAAAAGATAGATTTCTCTGTTTATTCATATCACTTTTTCAGTCCTCTATATGGTCCTGTTAAGCTTTCTAGTGGACTAAAAAAGCAATAGATTTTATTATTCTAGTACCAAAAAGTTAAAACTCCCATCTGCAATTTATATAATAAAATATCGATACGTGGCGTCCGTGTATCGCTACAGTTGCCATGGCAAATATCACAATACTATGCTGTATCGATTTTTTGCCCCACCCTAATGATTAGAGTTTATGATCACATAACGTACAGTTAAGCAGCGACTCTTCACATTTAGGAAGCTGAAACCAATAAATGTTTGGAATTTTTGCATGACAAACTATTCAAACCAATTATCAAAATAGCTGGCAATTACATGTCCGTCGATCAACAAATCTATGAACCACTGCAGCCCTACATTGAAGACGTGACGTCTTGGGTTCTGGGAAACCACAGAGGCCATTTTTCACTGTTATCTGACAGGATATAGATTACAATTTTATTTAACCTTTATTTTAACAGGAAAGTCCCATTGAGACAGTCTCTTTTACAAGGGACTCCTGTAAAATTATTTAAAAAATATTCATTGACAATAAAAACACTAAAATAGCTGCTTGTTTCTCTGTGCTCATTGTTGCTGCTCAGCCACGCGCCTCTGACAACTCCTTCCTCCCACTGCTGCAACAGGATGGTTGGCAGTCAAACATCGGATGCACTGCACTGACAGATTTGATTGGTCGAGGTACAGCAGTGTCCATACGGGGATTGAATGTGGTAAGACTAATGCTTTTATGGATAGTTTACATGCATCAAGATGCCGCCAGTGTGGGGGATCTTCAACAACATCATATATCAGTCAGCTAAAATACCATAAAGAGTGTTTACCGTGTTTCTTCATAGCGGTCTTGGCGTGCCTCACTGCCTCCCAGGGGCTGGGGATGTCCAGGAAGACAGCGTCTGCCACCCCGCTCACTCCGAACCCGTCCTTGCACACATCCTGGTTCCTGACGGTGACCAGATGATCTACGCGGTGCTCCTTGAATTCCTCCGCCGCCTTCTCCGCCCGCTGTTGGTGGAACTCCACCGTGTGCAGGTGACCCGTGGGGGCGATGGTACGCAGGATGGCGTGGGAGAGGGAGCCGCTACCCGTGCCTACAACATAGACGCCACAGGGAGGATTAGAGCAGCAGGGACTTCGATGCTGTAGAGACTCTTAAAATGTGGCCATGAATCTATTAAAGAACTTTTTGATGAACAGTTTGATGAAGACACATTGAAAGTCACAGTTTGTACAAACTACCTAGTTAATGTAGCTAAAAAGTTATCCTTCCACTGCAGCTCAGCATGGAAACAGGGAATTTGATACAATAACACGCCAACTTTGGAACATGGGGCTGCTTTATGGCAAAAATCATAAATATTTTGGTCAATATTGAGTTCATGATTATTTAACATGATGCAGAGATCTTCTGCCTTACACATTATACTCTAAAGACTTAAGAAACCCATATTTGTTTGGTACAAATCCTTGTGAAAATGAGAATAATGATCATTCCCTCCAATATTGCAAACGCAATATCAGTCAAAAATAATCGCAATTAGATGTTTGTTCAAAATTGTTCAGCCCTACTATAATGTTATGTTTATTTGGTATTTCAAATGTGAGAAAGTGTTGCTGAATTGCGAGTCTCTCATCCTTTTTGGCCGCTCCAGCAACAGTACTGTAACAGCTGAACTAAACATGCCACAGTCTGGCTGAGAGGCTTTTTAGGGAGGTGTGGAAGAGCTTTAAAGGAAAGGGGTGCGCTGGATTTCAGTTATCCTTTATTGATTCCCGTCAGGAAATTCATTCTCTTCATTTAACCCATCCTAAGAAGTGACTTATAACACAAGACAACACGGCACTATAATATAATAACAATTGATTTACCTCCATTATCTTGTAGTCTTGAATCCACAATCGTAATTGAAAAATAAAATTTGACTAATGATACAAATACCCACAGTTTATCTAATTCAGACCCCATTAACTTCAAATAAATGTGTTTTGTACAAAACTGTGGATATTAAATGGAAATGGTTATGTTGCTGGGGGATAATATACAGTGTCCTGTCTACCGGCCCTGTGGGGATATGGTGGACAGTTATAGCTCCAGAGGAGTTTAAATGATGCGTTATGTGTTTTTATTCTTGCAGCTGCACAAATTGTCTACTTGGGACACAGAGTAAAACCGATGACGTAATCACAGAAATTATGTTAAATGCTGTCCTCAGCTCTCAGCTGTTTCTACAACACACACACACATATTTTCACACTCGTTCTCTCTCTACTCTCTGCTGATAAGTGGATGCTACAGTTCCTGCAGTGCCCTGGTTGGTCCTTAAAGCCAGCTAACGTGCAGTTTACGAAAGAGAAGAATAACACTAATCATGTGACTTGCAGTTAAGGCGGGGGGAGGGATGGAGCATAGAGTACACAGCGAGAGAGGCCAACAGATTTCATCCTCCGCACCCCCCTTCTTCTTCTTCTTCTTCTTCTGACATTACGTCACCGCCGCCTTTGTTCGTGTGGGGCGACAAAGAGGGCAATGTTTAGCCCAGAGCTAAAACCTCACACTGCTGAGCCGAATGGTCTGTGACTGGAAACGACAGTAAATGGAAAACTGTGGTTGTAAAATCTATGAATGAGGATACGCACATGTAGAAAAACAAAACTGTTCCACACAAAACCACCGCAGCAGAGAGAGAGCGCGATAATTAGCCTCAGATAAGCTTTTTGCTTAATTACCTTAGTGACAAACAACAGTTTGATAGTTCTAGGTGAAGGACTAAATGTGCAGATTTCCCTTCCTAATTGGACTTTCAATCCATAGACATTCAGTGACTCTATAAACTGTGTACGATGTAATGCAATCCAATACAGGAGTCCTGAAATGAATACTACTGTTAACAGGGAAGTTACATTTTCCATACCATGTCTTTTACTAAGATGGATTACTTTGAAACGCTGTGACAGATTTCAATGACATCTGTTAGAAAGTTAGACCAGAAACAAATACATCTGTAGATGGTGTAGCTTATGACGAGTACAGGCCATGTCCGCCTGCAATTATTTAGCTTTTTTCATCACTTCTATCGTAAATTGAATCCACATACATAAAATATTTGGATAACACAAAAAGACAAGTTATTTTTGATATGGCATACCGTTTTCTTATAACTGTTTTAAATAAGTGTAAGTCTATGTCTCATAAACTGCTCTATTTCTTCAATACATTTTGCAATTGTAAAGTTATTTAGAAGATGTGTATAAGGCTGCAAATAACAACTATTTTCCATACAGATCGATCTGTCAATTAATCGTTTAGTCTATAAATTATCCAAAAATGGTGATAAATGTCTTCCCCAGTTTAACAAATGTCTTAATGACTTGAAATGTCTTCTTCTGTCTGATCAACTCCTGCGAACACTTGTGCGAAGTTTCATGGCAATTTATATGTGATGCTGCAGCAATGTGGTAAAATTAAATAAAATATATTAAAATATGCTGTAACTAAAGCACAAACTACAGCCTCACGCTGTCACACGGTTGGACAGTGGATCGATTGTCATCTGTGAAGTTTACTGTTGAGAGCAAACGGCTGTGCGGCTGCAGCAGATATCTGTCTGAGTGATGTGTGAGCCTGAACCTGATCCGCATAAACAGGCGATCAATCAGCACAGAACCGACTCTGGACCTCAGGCTTCATGCCAGGGTGCTGACTGGTCCAATATCCCTGATGGTTATTCTGATGTAAACGATGGAACGTAGTCAAGTCCACCAGAAATACACTCAACATCAGCAGCTATGTGGAAAATCATGTCGGAAATGTTAAAATACAGAATGAAATGTGATTATAGTGGACAAATCTTTAACCTTTGTTCTAACAAAAAAGGTATTTTTATTGAACAGCAGAGGCACAAAGTGCATTTTCCATTTAAAATGGTGGAATCTGGGAAAAGGCAAATTTAATAAAAGGGATCTGGTGCTGTGAGTGCGTCTGTAACTGGAGACAAATGATTATAATGAGAACATGAGAGGCCTAAAGGCCTAAAGTCAAACCACTTTCTGCTAAACCGAGAGTGCTTATTGCTCCGTTTGCTCTCCCACGCTGCAACACAGTTTACTTCACATTAGGGAAGTACCAAAGCATTACTCGGTAATGGTTATTGCTTCAATATGAACTACAATATGCTTTGATGTATTAAGAGAAGAAGGTACACATGAGAACAATGGCTGCCTGAAAACAACATGTTAGCTGTGTGGAACCAGTGTTAAACTTGGTTAAAGTGTCATGAAAAGGGACTTTGTGTGAGAAGCGGCAAGAACTAAAGTGTTGGAAACTTTTACTGCTTCAAGTGATGATGATGCATGAAACACTCCCACCACACAGCAACAAAAGAAGAAAGTGTGTTAAAGCAGCTGTTCTGCAACAGTGACTCAGCGTTGAGATCTGAGCGTTGAGATCTGAGTGATCTTTCTTGCAGCATGATCTTGACAACATGCATATTAATTGTTTATTTATAGCTTTGTGGCTGTTAAATAGGAAATAAGGCTACAGCCGTGCTAGCGGCTCTGAGAGGCTACTTAAGACACAGTGGTGCTTTGAGTTAAATGCTAACATCAGCATGCAAACATGCTCACAAAGTTAATCAGGTATAATGTTTATCATGGTCACCATCTTAGGCGTGTTAGCATGCTAACATTTGCTAATTTAGCACTAAACACAAGTCCAGCAGAGGCTTATGGGAAAGTCATTCCTTCTGTAGATATTTGGTCATAAAGCAAAGTACATGACAAATTAAACTTTTGACTTTATGGTGGTGTGACACCAAAATGTGTTACCTATCAGATTCTGTGACCCCAATGGGAAGTTAAGCGCCAGAGGCTTTGTTGACGATGTGAAGCCACTGCAGTAAGGTTGGGTTTAGGCACCAAAAGTAGGCCTACTTGGTTGGGTTTAGGCACCAAAAGTAGGCCTACCTGGTTGGGTTTAGGCACCAAAAGTAGGCCTACTTGGTTGGGTTTAGGCACCAAAAGTAGGCCTACTTGGTTGGGTTTAGGCACCAAAAGTAGGCCTACCTGGTTGGGTTTAGGCACCAAAAGTAGGCCTACCTGGTTGGGTTTAGGCACCAAAAGTAGGCCTACCTGGTTGGGTTTAGGCACCAAAAGTAGGCCTACCTGGTTGGGTTTAGGCACCAAAAGTAGGCTTACTTGGTTATGGTTAGGAAAACATTGTCGTTTGGGTTTTGGTCACAGATTTTAGTGTTACAGTGGCACCAGATGAAAAGGCAGGGGATGCCCAAAGTTCTAATTTATCCTGAAGGCAACATAAATGTCTGAACAAAATTTCCATCCAAGAGTTGTCATTTCACTCAAAACCACGAGGTCAAACTCAGAATAATCTGTGAAAAATGTAGCCCCAAGTAACCCTTCAAATAGATATGGAGCTATTTAACTGGATAAATCAAACTTTGATCAGCTAGTGGCACTAGCTGTGTCTGTGCACAATTTCATGGCAAACCATCAAGATGTTAAGATATTTCGGTCTGGACCAAAGTGGTGGTCCGACCGACTCTGCCACCCCTGAGTCTTGGACTAGGCGAGATATCGAGTATATCCAAATATTTATTAATGTGGAATAAAGCAGATGATATATTGTTATATTCCAGTTTTCAGTGTTACTGTGGGACGCTGCTGAGGGGGAAGTTATGTTACTTTAGTCATTTAATACTTTAGTAGTACTTTAGTAGATGAGCTCAGGTTTCAGTATAAGAGTTAGGAAAAGCTATGTGCTGTGTCCCTGTTTATGTAACGTTCCTATGGCATCTTCTACTCTTCACAGCAGAGTGGGTACAGTTGGTAATAAGCAAGCTAGTTACTCAGTATAGTATTTCACACATGGTGATGCAATACCCTTTAATGGGAGCTTTTCTTTGATGCAAATGGTCAAGGCAACCCGTGACGCATGTCAATGTAATCTGCTCACAGAACAAGATGTCAAGTCAGTGGGTGGCTAGTGTTTGAGAGGAAGCTGTGATACGAGAGGACGAAAATGGGAAACGTGGTGGGGGCAGGGGATGGTTGAACTGTTGGTCATCCCTGCTTTCTGTTCTCCATCTACTATCAAATACAACATGGTGGTTTCCTGGAGGAGAAGCAAAACCGGGGCAGATGTCCACGATCTGAATGTCCCAGCAGGCAATTTAGAATGAAGTGAAAGTAATAGAGTAAAGTCCTAAATGTTGCAGGGGAGCAGCTTGAAGGCCAACTGCAGATGGTTGTTAACTCCTTCTGTTGGACAATAACAATACAACAACTGCAATAAACTATATTAATGTCATTCATTTGCATCACGCTCTTTTGCATAAAGCATAGAAGTCGTGTTGGCTGTAGCATGAGTCAGATAAAGTAATCTTTAGCCAAATAAACTCACTACAGGGTCGTATTTTACAAAGAGCAAACTATAATATTTTAAGACAAATTCGATGAAGAAGTAAAGAAGACTGTAAACATGAAGCTAACAGGCTTATAATATTGCTTGTCCCAACATTAGATCATACTAGTAGATCTGACTATAATTACATTGGTGTATTCCATGAAATTAATGTGTTGCATGACCATTTTAGTCAACTTCTCATCACTTCAAGAATCAGATTAATTTAACACACTCAAAAATGTTCCTAATATGGTTCTTAATGTACTCAATAAAGCAACTAAACGGAAAACTCACCCACATTACCAAACAATTACCAACAAATAGCAAAAGGTGGAGCGCTAAATGACCAGCCTTTATACAAGTAATATAAACTATAATAAACAAATGCAACCTAAAGTTACAATAAATGCATTCATATAACAAGTACAAGGCTTTAGTGCTTCAGACACTCTCTGTTGTGGGATGATATTGGTATACAAAACATCTCCGCATCACCTACAGCAAACAAAAAGTATGAAACAGTCTGCTATAAATGGTGAGGTCATTTTCCATGGAAGCCGATTGGTCCGTAGGCGGTGCTTTTATAGCGGTGATCTCTTATCTCAAACATAAACTGCTCTGAAGCAAGTTAGCCATTCAGCATAACTTACCCTGGCGATGTACCCCAGGAAGAAGTGAACCATCGTCATCGCCAACATCAAATCCTGCTTTGTAGTACAGACCCCTGGAAGTGAACCCTGGGTCTCTTCGCTGGTGTAATTGTATTTGTACTTCTGTACCACCTGTGTGCCACCTGGCCAGTAGTCTTGTACAGCCTCAATACTGTGACTAAAAAGCCCTTGAGTTATGATATTTGCTGAGTACAGTGGCATTGTAACCTGCTTGATGTGTAGCACTCATACAGGTGGAAAGCTAAATAATTAACTTCAAACACTTGGCCAGCCGGAGCAGTCTACCTCCAAGGTGACTCCTCTACATGACTAGAACGCTCCTTTAGAGGACGTGGCGTGTAGGCCGAGTGAAAACAGCCAACAAAACCATCGCCTCTAATCGCTGCATGTTTACACAGCTCACTGACAAAAAGCCTCCCCTCCAAAAGACAGCGCACAGTGGTTAAAGACCATTATGCTGAACATCGCGAGCCACCGCTGTGTCGTACAAACGCCGATTAGCACCTCGTCGACACATAATGACACTCAAGTGTTGGTATGTGCAGCTAATTAAATGCTGCACTCCAGAAGTAATTTCATCTCATGTTCGAGCATTTATTCGTCTGAATTTAAATGTGAAGACTTACTTAACATAAAAAAAGGCCAGCGTAATGTGATGCCTGTGCAGCCCTCTCCATACTGTTATAGTGTGTGTGCTGCTGACTGAACAGATTTCCTACTGGACACATTCATCATCCCCTGAGACCCCTCCAATCTCAACACACACACACTTTTCACTCAGTACAATCAATAAGGTGACATGCCCAGGGCTGCCAGCAGCAGAACACGATGAAGCACTGCGGCACACAAGACATTAAAATCCTCTACAATCCCCCCCCACTGCCCTTGGACTGGAAGAAACTGCAACAACGAGCCGAAAACACACCAACACACTCTGAGCAATTAAATAAATGTAAATGGACGATGGAGCTGAGCCTGGGGGGGGGGGAGAAAATCAGAGGGAGGACAAAAAGTGACAATGTCAACAAATGCTGTATTACATAACTTTCGTTGGCACATCTGTGGCTATCACATGGTGTTCAATATCAACAGCTGAGGCTCTGTGGAATGAAACATCAGACTCAAAAAGGTGTGGACAGGATAATTAAAATCAGGCCCTTGTTCAAGCTGCAGTGGTAAAGCCTTTTAATAAGTAATAAAATACAGGCTGCAATAGATCAAAACATCCCATCACCCCAACCGCAGCAGTTCCACCACATAGATAGCCACAGTGCAGGTTTTATAGCTCAGCGTCAGATTTCTCCCGTTCACAGCACCAGTGCAGCACTACAAGAACTTATATATGCTTTAATTATATTCCCCAAACCAACTCTGTTTAAATCCTCTCATTCACATCGTGATGAAAAGCAACGACGTGGAGAGGTTCGCCTCGTCTAGAGCAGTGATCGGAGCGAGTTTACTGAGGAGATGGCTTTACTAAACGTGTGTTGCTGAAAAGGAGAAGAGTACTGAACCTGTCTTTGATATTGTTTTAGTTTTAAACAATGTCCACCAGCATCAAAAGCTTTCAGGAGGAAACAGCCCTGACGTGTAGTTACATTTCAGGCAGGTGCACGTCAGCAGGACAGGAAGGAAGAAAAATTGTTGTGTTTGTTGCACACTACACTACATCCTTGCTGATTTCCTTTAGTATGGTGCTTAACAGACCAGCCGGGCTAATACATATTAACATGCTGTTGCCCAGACAGCTTCCTCTTGTTGCCATTTACAACCACCAACATGCAAAGTGCAGCTTCAACCAAGTTATCACAAAACAGAGCCCTCATTGAAGTGAGAATATTGAGGCCAAAACTATTCATAACCCAACATTCAAGCTTACTTTGGGCCTTACAGGAACTTCCAGGACATTAAGGACACTCAGATCCCACTGAGGATGTTTAAAGGCATATTGAGACATGTTTGTGACTATCTGCTATCCTGCTAATGGCGGCTCATGAACTGATCTTGTTCTCTTAAACCAAACTTTCCTGGCAGTCGCAGCGGACTAGCTAGTGATTCTTTGTGTCTATGATGATTTTGATTTTAATCATTGCTGAGTGTATTACTTCTGTAGTGGCAAACAGCCGCAGGTTGTTAAACAGTTAATATTAGGTTTAGTAAACATGGCTGACTAGCTGTAGCTGAAATAGACCATTCTGTGCCGGCATAAAAATTCTCAGATGCATTTGTTGTTAGTAAATGCATTAAAAACAATAATCTAACAAAGTTTTGCAAGTGTGTGATATGATTCTCTTCATTTTATCTGTAATTGTGTGGATTTCATTGTACTAAAATATCTGTTTTGTATCTGAAGTGTTCCTCACCGGACTCGCAGACGATGGATCCCGGCTTCAGCTCCAGCATCATGGTGATGGTGGCGATGTCAGTGGTGTAGAGGATCTGTGTGCGGTGCGGCAAGGTGACTGTCCAGAGCTCAGGTGTGGGGTGAAGCACAAGGACCCACTTGCCTTTGCTGCAGGTGACTTTTGACCCGTAACGCTTACCAATCAGGTCTGTGGAATGGCGAATGACTCCGTAGCGGGTCTGCGTGTGGGCCCCCTGCTGCACCTTGACTGGCATCATGGACTCGTGGCCCAGGTAGACGATGGCAACGTCCCCTTCCTGAATGAAGTCTGAGTACTCCACAAAACTCATGGTGTAAGTCTGTAACAGGGGGGGTAGGAAAAACTATTTATCACCAAATACTATGCTTAAAATTGGCAAGTACAAGCTTTAAACATTAAACTGTAGGTCCCAGGTTCTTGTGTGGCTTTTCTTGTTGTGATATTTGAAACATACGTGCCAGAGACAATCTGTTTGGACACACAGTTACAGAGCACAGACATCCTTATGGCCAAAAAAAAGTTACCACGATAAATTATTTCATATCATTGGATCTCGATAATTCTCCCGATAAATGTCAAATCATTATATCTTTTGAGTTTAAAGGCTGATTTTTGCCCCTGAGTGGAAGTTGAAGAAACAAGATGGTTAATTTTGGTCAGAACATGACAAACACTTGCCAAACAGTCAAATTTTATCAAACATTTGTTATATTGTTAGAGGAAAATTATATCTCGATACTTATTGCCCTACCCTTAACTATCCCCCAAATATACTCTAGGTGGGACTATAAATTTTTTTAATTGAACTGAGCTCATTTCAGGCTTGGTAACTTCCTCATTTTTTTTGTTCTCATTGCTTGCGCAGTTGAATTTATGATATATAATGATCAGGGTTTGTTTCTTAGTAATTTATCACACCAAGTTCTTGGCATTTATATAGTTTCTGTTATGGTGTGATTGGCGTCCTCCTGGATGATGCTGGAAGCCGCACAAGCAGTTATTTTTTAAAAACAGCATCTTTCATAACTGAAAAACAACTGAAGTTTCTTTTCACAGCAATCAACTTCACTTCAGAAGGCTTCACGAAGAGAGAACGGACGTCTGATAGATGGAGAAGATGTGAGTTCAATGAATGGATGCTGCCGATGTTACAGCTAACGTTACATTTCTGATGTTTCTTTAAGAAAATTAGGTTTTGTGTCGAAGTCTGTTGATCCGTGATTTGGTGTTAAGGTTTCAGTTAGGTGCCGCAAAAGTTAGCTGGCTAACGTTAACTGTTTGGGGTTAGGGACATATTTAGCCTCAGGTGATACCTGAAGTAACGTAATCTAACGTTAGGTTAGCCAACTTAACGATGATAGTATCATAACTGATGCTAATTTTATAGCAGTTAACGAAGACTTGTTACTCTAGTTAACTGTTTGGGGTTAAGGACACATTTAGCCTCAGATGAAAGTAAAGGGAAACGCAAGTTGATGTAATTTAGAAACAGATTTCGACCCTTAAGGGTTTTTTTATTGTAATGTTATCTAAGTTAACATTAGGTTAGTCAATTTAAAGATGATAAAGTGCTAAAGTTAGTAATGCTAGGTAACTGTTTGGGGTTAGGGACACATTTAGCCTCTGGTTAAAGAAAGGCTTAGAAAACGGATTTCGACACTTGAAGATGGTTTTCCGTAATGTTAAGTAACGTTAGCTAACTTAACGATGATCCTAACTGACACTAACGTTAAAGCAGTCAACTTAGTTAGCTAACTGTTTGGGGTTCGGGACACATCCAGCCTCAGATTAAGACGGAAACACAAGTTGATGTAATTTAGAAACATGCTTCGACACAAAACCTGAGGAGGGTTTTCTGTAACGTTAGCTAAGTTAACTTAACTATAATGAGTTAGTGCCCTAACTGACGCTACAGCTAACGTTAACGAAGACTTGTTATGTTGGTCAAGTTTAGCTAGCTAACATTAGGGAACGTTACTGGGTCATATTTTTTGATAGATTGGAAAGTATTAGCACAATTTCTAGATATTAACACATTTTGTTTACATCAAACATACAGTAAAGTCACAGTGCAAAGTGTCTGTAATGAAGCACAACTTACAAACGAGCGTAACGTTTACTGGTTCGACATGCTAACATGCTAACGTTAGCTACCTTAACCGTTACGATTAGAGAACGTTGAATAACCGTTGGCCGCTCTCGACCGTTACCTTCTCCGGAGGTGTCGTTATTCGGCTGTGGAGTTCAAACCCAAACTGCGGTCCGTAAACGACTAATTCTGCTCTTAATGCCGCTGGATGTGCAATGTGGAGCTCAGCGACAGCCACCCATTCATTTCTTACACACACGTGGTGTTGTTTTCGGAGGAAGTTGAGCAGACAGAACCGGATGCTGTGCCGCTTCACGGATTTGCAAACTCCTCCGTCCAGCAAAGTGGATGCAAAGAGGCCGAGCAGATGATTTGTAAATCCGCTCTCCACCTCCAGACGCCGAACATTTTTATGGTTATGTGTGGGACAGAGTGGACACTTCAGGCTCTGCACGGAATCCTCCCCAAAATGCGAGGAAGCGATTTTCTCCAAGGTTTTTCAGTTGTTAAAAGTACATACGAAAATAAATGAATTCTCATTACCAGCAAAGGAAACAGGAGTGGAAGACGTATGTACTTATCTTCGCCTCTATAATATATACACATAATAATAGTAAAAAGCGATACCACTCTAAAAATGAATTTAAAGTCCAGTATTTACAATTTTACTTAAAAGTACTGAAGTATGAGTGAAAACATGTACTTAAAGCATAAAAAGTAAAAGTTATGCTGATATTTCACAACGACACGAGCTTGTTTATGTGATTTTTATTTGAAAGTTTCAAGTCCCTTCATGCTACACACAAAACTAAAATCTGGTAACATTTAAATAACTAAAATAAAATAAAACAATAGGCTATATTATATATAGATTGCGTCTAGTGTTGCCCGGTAAGTTCTATATTATAATTTTGGATCATTATTATTAGTTAGGCTTTCATATGTAAGTAGCATTTGACTGTGTTTGGTCAAGGTGGTGCTAATTCTAACTTATCTGAAATGCAACTTGTAACTAATGCTGTCAAATATAACATTGACCTCTGAAATAAAATGGAGTACAATTATACAGTATCATTAAATATGAATATTTAAGTAAAGTATCTCTTAAATACTTAAATTTATTTTGATTAGCTGCATAATTCAAACATTTACATGGGGTCACTTGAACGCAACTTCAGTTCCGTTGAATTTAGCAGTATGTTGGAATAACAAGTAAGAAATCTTACAAAAATAAATGTTTATATTGGACAAAATGTATTTTTATTGACAATTGCGATTTGTTGCACAACAAGTTGAATTATGAGGTTAATCTGTGTACATGGGAGTCCCCGCTCCACACAGCGGCTAAATCAGCGCGTCCAATTGAATGAATGGACTACAAATACCGACCAATGGGAGGAGAGACGGTCTACTATAAATTACGATCTCAAGTCATCAGTCTGACCGGAGAGCTGCTAGAGGTTTGTGAGCTCCTCGGCCGGAACAATAGGGATCTTTGTGTCAACCCCTGGTAGTAGTAGTAGTCGTCCACAAATCCGACAACAGGTAGGAATATTGTTTAATTTAACCGATAATTCCGTTAAACACGCAGAATATCTTTGGTTTTTAACTATTCACCGATTAGCTGGGCGGTAGAGAAAGATGATCTTGGCCTTATGCACATGTCCGCTTTTCACTACAAGGATTAGTTGTAGTTTAATTTTATTGAAAAATTGGATGCATTTGTATCATGTATCTGCTGCACACTTTAACGCCTTCAGGACACTGCAGGATATTTAATCGACTATCTGCGGTTATTTTAGTCACTTGAGCTAAAATATATCAGGCATAATCCTCCCGATGAGCTGTGCCTTCGTTTTCGCTGCTTTTCACCGTCTCTTCCCTCCATCCTCCGCCCAGGGACCAGCCATGCCTTTCGGTAACACGCACAACCAGCTAAAGATGAAGTACACCTCGGAGCAGGAGTACCCGGACCTCAGCAAACACAACAATCATATGGCCAAGGTCCTGACTCCTGCTATGTACGAGCGGCTGAGGAGCAAAGAGACCCCCAGTGGATTTACTCTGGATGATGTCATTCAGACTGGGATTGATAACCCAGGTAAAAAAAAAAACAACCCAAGCGGCTTTTCGGTGAAACCGGCATCTGTCCTGCTCGGCTCGTTTTATGGCCGCAGCGGCTCCGTGTGCTGCACGAACAGCTCTTTGTGCTGTGACCTTGCCGAGGGGGATAAACTGTGACCAACATTAAAACATATGGAGAGCTGATCAGTTAGAAACACACCCTCCTCTAAACGGGCCTCTATTATCAGAGCAATGCTGCAAAGCTTTTATAGCAAATGAAGATTAGCAGGTTACATAATGAGCGCAGCTGCTTTGTTTTATGTCAGTTTTCACTGTAGACTAAAGTATCAGCAGTGAGGCTCATGTTTAAACCATGCATGTGAACCCAGTCAGTGAGGTGTGGCAGGTGGCTTTGCCTGACCCTGTAGACTGTCTCTGTTCAGTTCTGAGAGTATGGCCAAGCTGACGCTGAAGAGGCTGTCAGCCGAGGAGGAATACCCAGATCTCAGTCGGCACAACAACCACATGGCCAAGATCTTAAACCTGGACATGTACAGGAAGCTGAGAGAGCGGGCTACACCCAGCGGCTTCACCATAGATGGTGTCATTCAGACAGGGGTTGATAATCCTGGTACAGTTGCACAGTCTCCCACCCTGAGACCTGCTGAGCACATTGAGGTAGTGAGGATGTTGGTTTGTCTGCCTGTCCCCTCTGTGACCCTGACTTTGTGTGCAGGCCACCCCTTCATTATGACTGTGGGCTGCGTCGCTGGAGACGAGGAGACGTACGAGGTCTTCAAAGAGCTGCTGGACCCCGTGATCGAGGACCGACACGGAGGATACAAACCCACAGACAAGCACAAAACCGACCTCAACCCAGCCAACCTGAAGGTACCGCAGCCCCCCCTCCTGCCTGTTCACGTGGCTGACTGTAACCTCAGCGCCAAACAGAAACTAACATGTGTGTCGTCCCCCAGGGTGGCGACGACCTCGACCCGAACTACGTGCTGAGCTCCCGCGTCCGAACAGGCCGCAGCATCCGGGGCTTCTGCCTGCCGCCTCACTGCAGCCGAGGAGAGAGACGTGCTGTGGAGAACCTCTCCATCGAAGGTAAAGGGGCCACTTGAACCTGTGAAGTCTGCATGATGCTGGTTGGGGCTCCTTTTGTGTGGCAGACGGTGGCCCTCTAGTGGTAGCGGGAGGAATTACAGAGTCTAGTACACCAAAGTCAAGGTCAACTCTGAAGCCAGACCTTGAAGTGATGAGGATCCAATGTGGCTGTGTTTCTGTTGCGGATCTGGCATTATATTTGTTATAGATCTGTTCTTCAAACTCGTATCTTGCTCCCTGCAGCTCTGGACTCCCTGACCGGAGACCTGAAGGGAAAATATTACGCCCTGAAGAACATGACTGATGCCGAGCAGCAGCAGCTCATCGACGACCACTTCCTGTTTGACAAGCCAGTGTCTCCTCTGCTGCTGGCCTCAGGGATGGCCCGCGACTGGCCCGACGCCAGGGGCATCTGGTGAGACTACACTCACTGACGGCCCCCTGTT